GCCCCGCTCCGCCCCGCCCTGCTCCGCCCCGCCCCGGCCTACCTCTCACGCCACACCTCGCCTCGCCCCGCCCCGCTCCTCTCCGACTAACCACGTACCGTCCCTCCCCGCTCCGCCTCGCACCACATACCCCGACCCACACCACATCTCCACGCCTCGCCCCTCCGCGACCCTCCTCGTCCCGCCTGCGTAAGTCGCGTCGCGTCGCAGCACCCTGCCCTGCAATGCGCTCACGCGGCTCTGCCGGCGCCCCCTTTTGTCTCCGCTCCGCTGCTGACCGGGGAGGCTTTTATCAACCGCGATAACTCCGGGTGATATGGGGGTTTTCTCACAGTTTGTGTTCAAGTACTGGCTGAGATGCCTCAGGGCAATGACTTTTGTCCCTGGAGCATTTCTGACCGCGAGATGCCAGGGTAAGAGTTCGGACGATGCTGAATTTTTGACAGCATCTAAAGCTGCTGTCTGCAGTCTATTTGCGGCCGGTTGCGCTCATCGTTTCCATCATTTCTCCGATCAGTACCTGGCGAATGATGGAGCAGTGACTTAACTCACGGGCCATGACCCGTGCGCGATCATTCCTTGCTCGTCCTTGTCCCAACCTCTCCCCTTTACACAAAGAAGGGCGGGTACACTTACAAGTTCATACAAGTCCACAGTCACTTTGTGAACTAGGCAATTTTCAACAAAATTTTCTCAAAAATGACTCCGATTTTTTTCTTTAATTTTTTTCATGGGTAGAGCACAGAGCACTTACAACATTGGCTCAGGTCACATTGATCTCTAAATTTTGGAAAATTGCAAAAGTTCTTTGGAAAGTTACAAAACATTGTGAGAAAGTATGCTCTTATAGCACCTCTAAGACACAGTTTATGTAGATATAAAGAATACGTCGGAAACATGTTATTAATATTGACATTGCAATAATGTAACAGTATTTGAAGTGTCTGAAACACGATCAGGGACTAGAATATCGAGCGAATCTGACCGTTATCAATATTTTGTAAATTTCAAGTGTCCACTTTTTGATCGAAATTGAGGTTTGAAAAAAAATAATAAAAAATAGATCCAACTGGCAATTTTTAGAAAAGAAATCAGTTTAGAAAGAGGTATGCTAATCGCCTATTGACTATTTTATATTGAATTTAGTACTCTATGTCAAGCATTTTAAGAAAATAAAATAATATTTTTATCTACAGCCACCACCGATGCTTTTACCATATTTGGCTTTTCCGCGTAATATCCAGGGATCATGCAAAAAACACAGTAATTAAAATGTAGTTAAATTATTTGAAACTTATATTTTGACTTTTCAGGGTACTTTACATGAAAAATTAACAATGTTTCAAAACATTTTTCAAAACCTCTCTAATTTTTTTGGCAATTGTTTCCCCTTAAAGAGAGTCAAATTGCAACAAAAAAAATGCCGCCAGACGCATTATAGTTTAACACTCCAATATTTCGAAAACTGCATAGGTTGAAATTTTTTCGGCATCTTTCTACAAATACAATATTGAAGAAAAATATTCTTTGCTTAATAAAATATGTTTATCAAAAATATATCTTGAGATAAGGTCATGTACAATTTTTCCAAGAAGTTATTTTCGCGTAATTTTGCACAAAACATACACATTATTTGAACAATTATTTTCTCAACAACAACGTCAAATTGTTTCTATACATTTTTTCGTCGTATGTATCAAAATCACAGACAACAATTTGTACTGGTACGAAATGGGTAGCGTACTAGCTTCCCGTGATGTGATCCGGGGTTCAATTTCCGGAAGGATAACAATAGAAATGTATCTTTCCTTTAAAACCGTCTCGGTATCTGTAGCTGAAAAAAAACTCAGATAGACGGAGTTTGCTAGCTACGGTGAAGGGAATTCGCCATATATGTTATATTTCTCTCTTTCCTCCATGCATGGAAAAGTTTCGATTTGTCACACATTCCCAATAGTTTTTAAGTGAAAAAATCTCAATACTGTCGCCGCAGCTCTTCAGTGGAAATTGTTCGGTGCCAACAAGGAACGGCCGTTTCCAGAGTTACTCTACTACATAGGAGGGGGCTGAAAGCCGACAAGCAAATTTGACCTTCTTGAAAATTGTACTTTTAATCCACTATTTG